ACACTGTCAACATAATTTGAAAACAATCTAGTTATCCCACTCATTGAATGATGAGGGTCACTCATCTTACAACTAATTTCATTATTTATACACAAGCTGGACCTTGAAAAATTGGGATTTTCGACAACAAAGAGATTCCATTACCTTATTCATCTACTTTTCTCTTTTGTTATGGCAATGTGGCATGTGTTTAGAACATTCACTTTCTAACCAGGAGATCTGGGTTCAAATTTCACCATGGATGATTTATTTATCAAGATGACTTTTTGATGTTATTGGAGGCAATCCCAGCATGCAGCACATTTGGAAAGTGCCTGATAACCAACCCAATGTTGACCCAATCCCTGTGAATAAAATTAGATAGATGGAACAGTTCAGAAGCTGTCAATCATTGCATTAGCACAAAATCATAAGTCATCATGACTGAGGGTATGAGTGTACTGGCCTTATTCTAGATACTGATAATCTCTGATTATACACTCTCTCTCTCCCAAAAAACTGTAACTAAGGTCTGTTCAGTATAGTTGCAGCATAAACAAGTGTGCTTTGTGGATTGAGCAGGTATCTGTAATAGGGTTTGCCTAGATACCCTGGCAGACAGGTGAGTTTGAAAATGAGTATTAACCTGGTGATTTCATTGTCTGTATCTTCTCATTCTTTCTCTTCTTCCTTTCAATACAACTAAGTTGACTCATTCCCATTCCTTTCATATTCCACTGATGAGTAGGAAGTTCCACTCAGACAGCATATTCTAAAGAAATCTTGTATTGTGGAATGAACTCCCAAGATGATGCTTCCCTGATCACTAGAATCTTAACCTCTACTTAACCATCATCTGTTCTACATCTCCTCATATAAACATTTATTTAGTAACCTTGAATGGTTATTGTCATGGGTCCTTACCTATAACTACAGAATGAACTCTTCCTAACACTATGTATACTACGCCTCTCAAGAGAGAGGGATGAATCGAGTCGAGCCGATAGTAGTTCACTCCAAACCAGACTGACAGTCATAAAAACACCTTCCACATCTTGGATTATTATTTCGCGTAATATACCTTTGTTATTTCTACTCTTGTGTTCGTGTTGTTCTTCCTTGGTCCTAACCTGGACCATAACAGTTATTTAGATTTGTATTAGGTGAGCAATAGAAAAAAATACAATCCTCTATTTGATACCTCCACCCTGTCCTTTCCCAATCTGCTAGCACACCTATCATTTTATCTGAATTAATGAGGCTTTTGATGACAAGCACACCTCAAGGACCATAGCATTAGATATTTCAAAGGCTTTGACAAGGTATGCAACAAAGGTTTGATACACAAGCTCTCCAGCTATGGGATCACTGAAAAAGTTTTCTCACTTATAAATTCCTTCCTAAGCAGTAGGTCCCTAAACGTAGTTACTAATTGCCAGTCCTCTGGGTCCCTGATGATCAATGCAGGAATTGTCTAGGGGTCAGTTTTTGGATCAACCCTCTTTTTGATTTAGATAAATGATCTGCCTAAGAATATACTCAGATCATTTGTAAATATCTATACCAATGATCTGGTGATATACGGGTGCATCTCTAAAACTCTTGATGATTAATAACTGATCACTCATCTGATCTAGCAATAACTTCCAAGTGGGGGGAAAAACTGTCTTGTTACATTCAGTGCCTTGAATACTAAATGAGATACATTCCATCATTTCCAATCTGACTCTGATTTGCCACCAGTCACAATGAAAAGATGCCCCTCATGCAGGCATCATCTCTTAAGAGATTACTGGGCCTTAAAAACACACCCAAACCTCAAGAGAAACTTCTACATAGAATCACAAAAGATGCAGGTAAAATGGTAGACTCCCTATAACACTCCAGTAAGTACCTGACTCCTCATGCTATCCTCTACCTTTACAAAAACCAGATCTTTGCTTAAATTCATAAAGTCTAGATACTAAACAGAAAAGCCCATCAGAAGAATTACCATGAAAATATTTTGTTGTAATGGAATGTCCCACACTCCCTATTGACTATGTGGACTGACTATGTCAGTAGATATATATAGTGAGCACAGGATATACCTGGGCACTTGCTTTGGGAATTAGTTGGAGATTTGTCTCCAGCTAAGCTAGTTGAACTCTCTGCCTGAAGGCAGAGAGGAACCCAGACGAGGCTATGCCAAAGGGCAGAGTCTATGACCAAAGGTCATGGGGAGTTGGATACTCATCTGACCACATGGGGCAGTTGGTAAATTTGCTTTTGGGCATTTAGTTTGCTACCTGATTCTATCTTTTCAGTGGTGTATTCTTCTTTTAAAATAAACCTTTGCTTTCATCTATGCATATGGGTCCTTCACTCATACCCCCTGTTTGTAACCCTTTAAAAAAATTTTATTGAAAAAGACACAGTGAAAGCTACATTAAAAAAACTAATTTACTGAATAATAATTATAAATAATAGACATTGCTTGATTTACGTGCTTAATCTATATCTTGATCACTGATACCTGAGAAATGTGCCACTATTTCAGTAAGTAAATATTAAAATAAGTTCATCTGAAAATAATTTTCATAATGAATAAATGCTGCAATAATTGTATTGAATTTTGCTTGCTAATGCACACGCAATCTTGTATTCTGCACATTCTCCTGAATGCAATCATTTGCAGCCGAATCAAATCTATAATAGTCTCACCTAAAACAAAAGCTTGAAACTGACTACCTGACCCACCAGCACTTTAGAAGACATGACTTCCACAAAGTTAGCACCTCAGATTATCTTGAATCACTTTGTAATGTAAATGCTTGATGTAACTTCAGCTTAACCTTTGATGACAGAGTTATTGATCTTCTTCTGTTCTTGTCATTCAAGATTGGATTGATTTGTCACATTTTGGTCAAGGGATCAACTTTGGTTGACGCCTTGAAATCCGGATTTAAGAAGATCACAGCAGGTAAGATATTGACTGATCTTTCAATACTCATGGCACTCTTCAGCTCTCAGTTTACGTCAAAGACACAAATGCTTTGTATTCAGCATAGAAAGTTGAATAGTTCTTAATTTGCAAGACAGTCTGGCAAAGTTAAATATCACTATGCTTTAATTAACTGCTTTCTGTATCAAATGAGCATTTCAGATAGATCAAACCTTAGATAAATTAGTTCCAAGCTACAGTAAAAAAAATGTTTATTTAACTATATATTTTTTGCATTATGAGACATGTGTAGCTCATAGATTGTATTCAGCCATTTTTATTTTTTATATAGCTCTAAATAAAACAGAACTGGACATACATAAAAATAAAGATAAAGGATAAATGAACTGAATCAAGCTTCTTCAACAAAAATTATTGAAATATATATATATATATATATATGTATATATATATATATATATAAAAGTGAACATAGAAGTAAACACTTAGAGGCGACAGTCTGTTTCATGCTAGATGAAATTTGTCAGGCCTGACGATTGCATCTAGCATGAAACAGACTGTCACCTCTAAGTGTTGACTTCTATCTTCACTTTTATATTTACACATGCTCTATCTCTGATATTGAGCACTTTATCCCATAAATATATCACATCTTAAGACTATATTTCTTCATATATATATATATATATATATATATATTTGGGCAGCAACCTTTCTTTTAAACATCTTTCCTAAAATATGATGGTCAAGGAAAATATTAATTTTTTATTTAGTTTTTCCCGCCTTCTTTTATTTTTCCATTTGGTGGAAATGAGCAAGTACAAAAACTGTCCATATCGTTGATTGTCCCAAGTGCTTTCACCCACTTCTGCAGCCATTTTCAAGAGATTTTTCATTGTCTGTCATATTTAATGATATATATATATATATATATATATATATATATATATATATATATATATATATATTTAATCATGTCACCCCAAGCAAGGCAATAAAGTCACAAGAAGTTACAGAGGGTTAGAGAATATAAGAAAAGAAAACATTATTAAAGGAGAACAATAAAAGTACAGGAATAAAGAAAACAAAAGATAATGATTGGCATTGCATTTAAACTTTCAAAGATCAAATTTGGATGAAAAGCAGGAAACTGAAAGAGAGTTCCACAAGTGAGAAGAAACTACTAGCATAGAACTCACAGTTTACTAAAAACACTATCTATCTATCTATCTATCTATCTATCTATCTATCTATCTATCTATACTACTGTTATTATTGAACAATATAGTTGATGCCACATAGATGGAAAATCTACCAGTAAAAAAAAATTCTCTTTTGTACAGAAATGCACAACCTTAAAATTTAAATTCAAACTCAGCATTGCGACTACACATTCCAAAACAATAACACATTTCTCATAGCATTTTTTTGGATTACATCTCTATTTTCATTGACCTCTTATTACCGAGAAGTAAAAACAAGAACAAAATCTATTTCCATACCTGATGATGTCTGTAGGAACAGACGAAAGCTTGTAAAAATTAAAAGGCCTTATGCAACTGGAATTTATGAACAGGGATCATATTCATATACAGGTTCGTGGTTGGTGTATCTTATTTATATTGTTTGCAAAGATGTATTCTCACCATTTAAATCATTAACCTCTATATTTGTTTTTTGTATGAATGATTCATGAATTTATATATATGTATATGTATATGTGTGTGTGTGTATATATATATATATATATAGACAGATAGATGAATTTATGATAAATGACTGATATGCAATATCCAAACAAAGTATTTAGGATGGAATACAGGAAAACCAGCTGCCGAGTCTTAACATTCAAGTCTTGAGAGAGTCCAAAATCATCCTTGTGGGTGATGAATCATTTTTCATCCTACAACCCCATTCATACACAACATCACAAGCATCTCACTGCTTTATCACTATTTCCACAGAAAGTGTTCAGAAAAACTCCATTCTTAAGTTCCACCAGTTCGAAATTTGATGCCTTAGACACACCATATCATGCACACTGTAACGAACCACTGACATTCTATTAGTGCTTATAGCCATATCACATTAAAATACCAGTTCTCATCCGATCACCAGAGTTAAGCAATGTTGAACATGGTTAGTACCTAGATGGGTGACCACTTGGGAATACCCACTACTGTAAGCTTGGATATACAGGTGGTGTAATGGATAATGGCTTGAAATTATTAATTAAAGAACTGGGATTCACTTCCATTTGATTTTGTTATATTCACTTACGTACAAATACCCTTGGGAAAGGTATGAATCCACCTCTTCTCCTCCCGGCTATGGGTTAAACAGTAATAGTTGTATTACTAATGCATTATTATCTCCAAAATATTCTTACAATCCAAAAATATGTTTCAGCTTTATATAGCCTCAAAAAGATTGATAAGCCATAAAAACAAATCTATCAATATTCCATTGGTGAGATGTAAGTTTCACTCAAGCAGTTTTATCTCATGAAATACTGTTCCGTGGATGTGACTCCCAAGTGGGTGCTTCTCCAATCACATCAATCTTAACCTGTTCATGTAATTCTCTATCTCTAGTGGCCTAGTACAAGGAGATCATCATTTAAAAAAAATGATTTATTAATTTATAATCTATCATTAATTCATTAATTAAAATTTATTAAGCAGAAAAGTTTATTAATTTAGAAAAATTATAAATTAATTAATTTAATATAAATTTATTTATAAATTTAATTCATTTTATTTAAGAATTTATCCATGGTTGGCTGTTAGTTATTTACATACCCAGTCTATGTAATTTCAGTATCCTCAAGTTTTTTTTTCATCTGTGAGATTGACCAGCATTCACTGCCATCCAAGTGGATTGGTATTACATAACAGCTTAGCACTTTTTTGTGTTTCTAGTCATATTGTAGTACTGACTGCCCTTGGCTGTGACGACAGGTTAATGAAAGGGGACACAGCCTGACTTGGCTCCTGTAGATATATTGTAACGTATTTATTTTAAGCCTTGAAGACATGGCAATATGGTGTAAATTTGGGAATCAAAGAAAGAAGTGAAGAAATTCCAAGACTGATACTTTTCACTTCACTGCTTAACATAAAATCACTTGGTAGACTTGCAGAATAGAATATCTCCAACATCTGCGATAAAAATAATATATAAAATATCATGCAATATGATTAACTTGTACAGTGAATGAATAAAAAAAAATTAACCTGTAGAATATAAAAAACAAATATTTTCACTATCTGTCTATATTTCTGAGATGAAGTATTATATAAATTATTCAGACTATTGTCCTCATCTTTGTTGCCATATTCATTACAACGTTTCGGACCTAAAAGAGTATGAGTTCAATACCCAGTTAAGGCAGTGGAGAACTTTCAGAGGGGAATTAATAGGAGATAACTGATAACTGACATCCATTAAAACTTAGAACGTTTACCTAGAACAGTCAACCCCAGTGAGCAAAATAAAGGGTTCAGTTCGGCATTCCAACCACCTGAAGAAGGCCTGAGCGTACAATGGCCGAAATGTTGTAATAAGTATGGCGACAAAGATGAGGACAATAGTCTGAATAATGTAAATAATATAAATATTTTCACATGTAAATCAAGCATATATAGTTATCACAATGTTTGGCTGTTGTATACACCTGCCTTCTTCAGGTGTATGCATATTCCATTATATCAATATATATATATATATATATATATATATATATATATATATATATATATAATTTTTTCATATAGACAAAAACAATTTACTCACTACAAAATGCAATTTGTTTCAGTACATTTAATTGCACTTTGACTGGTGAGAACCAAAATGTTATAATATATATATAAATATATATATATATTATATTACATTATATTATTTCTATATATTTCTATACATATATATATATATATATATATATATATATATATATATATATATATATTTTTTTATGGAAGTAATGGATTTTTTATTTATAACTCTGACAGATTTTATCACTTAAATGTTACTTAGTGGGGAACATATATTTGAATATAAAACTCCATTTATTTATTAAACAATGTTTATTTATTTTCATCAGCCTGAATATTTGAGAAATATTATTAAAGAAAAAATGCACCCTCCAGCAGGATTTGAATCTGTGTACCTAGTAGCAATATCCACAACATAATTGTTGGCAATACAAATATAATAGCCTCATCCACATGTAGAGAAAAAATAAAAAAATAATGTAAGCATTTCTAATAAAAAAGTGAAAGTCAAAACACGATAACATCAACTATGAACATGGTGACATGTTGAAAATAAAACTTCACTGTAACTCTAGATACATACATAAAAAATAAATTTTTAAATCCATGCATTCAGTTGCAAGTAAAATTACAATTATCCTTGATAATGGCTAAAAGAATAGCCAAAAGTGTTTGGATATATAAAACATTTTGATAATTTTTATATAATTTACATCCAGAAAAGAAAAAATATTATAAGAACACAAGTAAAATTAAATAAAAAAAAACTTTGAGACAGTACCTTACCTTGTCAATCATTTTTAACAAAACTTGTTTTTATATATATATATATATATATATATATATATAAACATGGACAAGTGTTTAGAATATTTGCTTTCTGATCATGAGACCCAGATTTGAATCTCATCATGGTCGATTTTAAGTTTTAATCCTTTCAAGTAATTAGGAAAATAAAAATTACTTGAAAGAAAATTTTGTGATTTTTTTTGCTCAATTTTCTACAGCCACCAAAAAAAATTAACTTCATCCATTGAAAGATTAAAACTAAAATAAATCTGCAAATATATATATATATATATATATATATATATATATATATATATAAAAGAAATATAAACATGTTAAGGTGTGCTATATTTATGGGATAAAGTGCTCAATATCAGAGATAGAGCGTGTGTAAAATATTTGAACATAGAATTTTGAACTTTAGAGGCGACAGTCTACTTTTATATAACTCTTTCCAAATATGCTGTGATTATTTTTCTAATTTTTATTGTCCACGTTAGTGGTTATTTGTAATCTTCTTATAGCTAGTTATTTTTTTGTAATTAAAATTTATTTTGTAAAAATATATTGCTCGTTTTTATTTTTTCATTCTCATATTTTATTTATTTATTAACCTATTATAAAAATTTGTTTTAAATCACGTATTTAACAATTGAAAATTCATCCAAGAAATAAATAGACAAACCAATCCCAAATTAAAAACTGTTTCCGCCAAAATAATAGTTAGAATGAACTTTATAAAACTAACTTGCAAAATTGAACAAATAGCTTTAATTAAATTCTCAAACCAAAACAAAACTGTTAAATATGTGATATAAACAAATTTTTTACTGGTTAATTTAATAAATAAATAAAATGAAACAAAAAAAAAAAAACGAGCAATTTAATTTGTTCAAATAAATAAACAAAGCAACTTCTGGTAAAAAATAACATTCATAATAGAATACCCTTTTGTACTACTAACCCGTATATATATCTATTTGCCGCTAAAAAATAACATTTTACATATGTGGCCTAACGATTGCTTATTTTATTTAACAGACTTATATTATAAAACAATATATTTAAAAGTCTCTATATATATATATTTATATATATAAAAATATTTTTATATATATATATATATATATATATATATATATATATATATATATTTCTATATATATCTAGTTTGCCGTTTGATAATCTATTCAAATATACATTTTTGGTTCGCAAACAATTTAAATTTAAGATACATCAAATTTGAACCTGTATATGAATGATATTATCTTTTTTTTTTTTTCATAAGAACTAAATAAATCATTCTTTCACCTGTTACAAAATCATCGTTATGGATCGAAACAGGATAGATTTTGTTCTTGTTTTTAACTAAATAAAGAGAATACACACACAAATAGAGATGCAATCCGAAAAAAGTCAAACAATTTTTATTGTTTTTTGGAACGTTCTTTTCGCAACGCAAGAGTTTGAATTTAATTTTGAATTACTGTAATTATTGAACAATATAGTTCATGCCATATTCACGGAAAAATCTAAAAGTAAAAAGAATTCTCTTATTGTCATATTTGTACAAAAACGCACAACCTTAAAATTTAAATTCAAACTCAGCGTTACGAACGCACGTTCCAAAACAATAACATTTCTCATAGCATTTTTTTCGGATTGCATCTTATTTTCGTTGTCCTCTTTATTACAGAGAAGTAAAAAATCAAGAACAAAATCTACTTTCTATACCTGATGATGTCTGTAGGAACAGACAAAAAGCATTTACTAAAAATTAAAAACACGTTATGCAACTGAATTTATAAACGGGGATCATATCATTCATATTACAGGTTCGGGGTTGATAGATTTTAGTTTTGATGAATTCTCGCCATTTAAATCATTAACCTCTATATTTGTTTTTTGTATGAATGAATTTTGTATGAATACATAAATGTTTAATGGTCAGGGTTGAATTTTACCAGGGAACAGTAGTATTAAAAAGTGCTCAAATCACACACACACACACACACACACACACACACACACACACACACACGTATATGACAGAAAAGGTGCTTTGATTAAGTTTTTTATATAATTTCTCATATGATCTTTAAATTTTTTTTTTTTCAGTAGATAAATTATACAAAAACTGTACAAATGTTTTATTTTTCCAAACACTTTCAGCTATACCTTTAGTTATTATCAAGGAAGAATTGTTACATGCATGTATTATAGAATGTTTTATTTTCAAATTGTGTCTATGTTCATAGTTGATATTACTGAGTGTTGTTTTTTTTGTTTTTATTAATAGGGCTTCCATTATTTTTAGCCTTTTTTTTACATGTAGATGATGCTATTATAGTCGCATTATCAACAAGTATGTTGTGAATAGGGTCTGGTAGGTCTCCATAAGTATTTAAATGAGACCTAATAGAGCTATGGTTAGATATATATAGTGTAAGTCTTCTTGTTAAACATGTTGTAGTGTGGCCTATATAATTGTTTACAAATTTTGATTGATCAGGAATACAATTCCTTAATGGCATTCGTAAATAATATTTGTTCTATTTAATTTTGATCTAAGAAGTGAGTTATTATTTTTAACTATAAGATTGGCTAATTTAAATTGTTT